AGAGTTTGTCAAAATATGTAAGTTTCGAAGCGGAGTCGCCAATTTGAAATTAGTGCCGTAAAGCACGAGAAAGCTGCCTTCTGATTGGTTATTCCATTGGTCGGTCAAAGTTCGCGCAAGGTCGGTCTGACGTGACCCGTAATGGGATGTCCTCAGATCTTTGTTTAGCGGTAGCGAGAACTAAGATCTGATTTTAATGAGATTGATGAATGTCATTCTGAACATTTCATACGGATGTATGGAAGCGTCTTGGTGCCACATGGAACAGAGTTTTATCTTTTCCGTAGGAAACCAAAAGCCTACGTGGGACTTTCAGGCTCCATCCTGTGACTTTTTGTATCACCCAAGTAGGACTTTTAATCTCGTACGTAGGGTTTAAATCTCCTAAATAGGAGTTTTATCTCATAAACAGCACGTTTTATCGCCTACGTAGGCTTTTGTATCTCCTAAGTGTAATTCTCTAGCTCCTACGTCGACTTTTTCATGAAGCTGACGATGCCGAAGGCAGGCAGTAATTTGTCTTTCCAAATTACCGCAGGTAAACCTTTGCCACATCTGATGCAGTCACGGTGGTTTGCAATATATAATTCTACCATTTACAATGTCCAAAACGACCAAGGACCACGTTTAAGTTAATTTCTATAGTTGCACGTTTCGTCCAAAGTTTGAACATAAGCTTTAAGTCGACTCGGACATCTTTTCATAACTGAAGACTTCGTTTTTGTATGGGATTTGATATAACGTTATATATTGGCGAATTTAGCAATAAAATAATGGTATGCGAGTTATGAAAATATGTTAACCGCCTCTAAACGAACTCTTTATCACTATGGCTATAATCAGAATGAGATAGGAATGAATAAGAGGCGAAGCGAGCTGAAATTTGGTTTAACGTCGCGTTCAAGATTATTGCACTTATATAGCGACGTGCATGCACGTGTGTTTGTGTGGCTGCTTGTACTAGTCCGGACTGATGCCGATTTATAGTGCTAGCTCACTGAGATACCATGCCGCAGTTTAACATGAATATCCCACTCAGACACAGTATACTGACTCCGAGCCGACCTGTCCTTGTTTTAGCCCTTTAATGCCGAGCGCAAGACAGGGTAACAACAAGTACCATCTTTTAACGTCTTTTGGTATGACGCGGCCGGGGATCGAATCACTAGACCCGTGGGAGGTTGAGTGAATAAGAGAAAACCAGGAACATGACGACATAAATATTTTGTAACATATGGGACAAAACCGATTCAAAATGCTTTGTTTTGCTTGTTTCTTTGTCATGCAGATACCTACATGTACATTAACAATTTGTATCTGTGTTGTCTTAAGACGCGCCATCTTTTTAGAAGAGGCGTTTTCTTTCCAAACCCAGGCCGCTCTGTTCATTCCCGCTTAAGTCATCTGTTAAATGAAACCATACAAATACAACCTTGTGAGCAATTAAACAATGCACGGAAACTTTAATTGTTGTCAGTAATATTTCCCTGTAAGGTTAAAATGCATTAATAGCTCCGCATTATAAGTATATATACCTAAGATATCACAATTAGATTCTATGAGCTGAATATCTATGTTTACCTTAAATATTTTAATATTTTGACATAACTTGCAGCCTTATATTTTCCCCAAAATATTCTGTTTGTTTTTATTATGTTTGTTTAAATGCTTTCTCTCATTTGGCTTTAATTCACTTGAAATATAACAAGCTTCCTCTCAGTAGGTGAGGTGAGGTGAAATGGGGTTTAACGTCGCGTCCAAGATTATTGCACTTATACAGCGACGTGCATGAACGTGTGTGTGTTTGTGTGGCTGCTTGTACTAGTCCGGACTGATGCCGATTTATAGTGCTAGCTCACTGAGATACCATGCCGCAGTTTAACATGAATATCCCACTCAGACACAGTATACTGACACCGAGCGGACCAGTCCTTCTTTTAGCCCCTTAATGCCGAGCGCCAGACAGGATAACAACAAGTACAACCTTTCAACGTCTTTTGGTATGACGCGGCCGGGGATCGAACCCCGGACCTTCCGCTCTCCGGGCGGACGCTCTACCACTAGATCACGGAGGCGGTCCTTCCTCTCAGTAAAATAAAAGCCAAATGAAGTGACATATTACCCTTTCTATACCAAAGACATCTCTGTTAAATGCAGAGTCCATTGTACGATTCCGACTGTACCATTAATATGTCATCATGAATCACTAGCAGGCAGTGATGACACCAGGTGTTCGCGAACAGGTGAGCGCATCCTGCCCAGTGGATTGCACAGGTCACAAATGTATCGGCGTATATATGTGTGTGGAAAGGTATTCTTGTATCTTAACGCTCAAGCACCAAGTTGCGCATTCATCCAGTCAAATGAACTGAAATATTCCCCAAAGCAGCACATTATCAAAACATAATAATTATTATGACGACAATATTATTAACATTTAAGTATGGTGGCAGACCTATGCACATGAACATTTTGTATAAGATCACAGTGTGGACCAGTATGGTTTGGCGTGGTATGGTTATTGTAGTATTAGTGATACAAATACAATTCCTCTTGCTTCTTAAATTCAGAGTATGAAATGGTCTTTTTCAAGAAAGATATTACTCTGTCGATCCTTCATACAAAAGTGTACACGTTATTCTCATTGTAAAGCATTTTTGAATGTTGGAAGACTTTGTCTCATCCATATTTAGACGCCTCCTCTGACATCGTTTAGCTCTATACATATCTCTTTAAATGATACATATCACCATATACGGTACCAAGACCTTGTACGGCAGTACTGTGTAAGGTCGAGTTCGCTACTGTTAACTAAATGTCATGCTAGTCTATAACTATCATGGAATATTGTCTTTTAGGCGTGACGTCATACGAATTTCATCGTTCCAATCAATAATTCTTTTTTAAGTGAAACCAAACCTATCGCATTATTTTCAGGGTTTTCTCAAGCTTTTGAAATATCAGAGTGTCATTGCGAGTCACATGAGGTGAGGTGAGGTGAGGTGAGGTGAGGTGGGGTGAGGTGAGGTGGGGTGAGGTGAGGTGAAATTGGGTTGAACGTCGCGTCCGCGAGTCACATGAAAAATGCTGATACATCTGGATCCCGTGTAACTCATATTCCAGATGTGAGCGCGTGCGTGTGTGTCGGATTAAACGTATTATTTAAGTTATTTTGGGTTTTATTTCGTTTTTAATGTGGGAAGAAAACCCGATGTAATGCAGACGTTCGACCTTTACCACTTTGGGCAAATCCGCGAACACGAACGTGGTGGTACCAAACCAAAAATCATAATCAGAGCGATACTGGATTCGAACCGACAATAATCGAATCCTGACACGACAAAGGGACGCAATTCTTCACAATAAATTGCAGCGGCTAAGGAAGCGGGGCCACCCGTGCACTCTTTTCCTGACGAACATGCGTCAGATATTACGCGGATCTTAATAACGAGAGTCATTTCCTTGTCCGATGTCCAACATACGCGGAATTCTTGTGCCAAGGAAATCCATGTTGTTATTACGGGCTTGAAGGTGCACTGACTATCTGGCTATAGTAAAACATGTCTTTAATAACAAGGGGCGGTCGGGTAGCCTAGTGGTTAAAGCGTTCGTTCGTCACGCCGAAGTCCCGGGCTCGATTCCCGACATGGGTACAATGTGTGAAGCCCATGTGTCCCCCGCCGTGATATTGCTGGAATATTGCTAAAAGCGGCGTAAAAACATACTCATTCACTCACTTTAATGACATTCATCCCGCGTCTTAGCGTGTTATATATCACCTATATATAGAAAAGGGCTATATATAGTCTGTAGCGTGACTGTGAACCACTGGTTTGTTAATGCTGGTTCTCCAGGTCACGCCATAGTCTATTATAGGACGGAGTATCAAAATTAATGTCACACGTAAGCATTATACCAGACTAAGAATGTTCTGATATCCCCTCGTATGTAATTTAAGCACAAAAGGCTTTCGCCGAGTTTCATACGACTTACATGTAATAGTCTGAGCGTGTGCTTCATCCAACTTGTCATAACGTGTTTTATATGTAATAGTAAATACGTACATGTGTATTCTTGAGACATAAGTACGATAAGTGATCAGTTTCTGCTCGCCCTGTTTCAAGCTGCAAAGGCCCCTAATACTCAACACTTCTACCACGCGGAACCTGCATGGGCCTGTTCCAAAAAGCGATATTTGGGCTACAACTGTCGCAAGCCCAGATATATGTTATAGCATGGGAGTTACTGACGAAATGAAAATTTACACAAGTGGCATATATAATCTTCCCGAGGCAATGGAGTTACGTGAGATATAAGTCCAGTTTCCACACTTGCCGAACTAGGATGGACTTGTGGAGATATATCTTGGCTTGACTAACGAGGCTATGTATAGTCCAATCAAAATAGCGTCACGAAATCAACATCCGGTCCAAAGCTGCTGTGCACATTTCGGTCGTTTGCAATATTTGCAAAACATGTGTAACGTCAAAAGATATCCTCCAAATCTCTTCATGTTTTTGATCAAGGTGCTCGCGAAATAAGACCCGTTTTATTACAATATCGATATGGATTATCGATCAGATCGTCTTCACTGGACGCCGCCATTTTGTTTGAAGCAAATGCAAGTGAAATGAGAGGTGGAATCTGATTGGTCAATAGGAGGGACATAGCAGGGAACTCGTAATAGCCACGGGTGGCGCTACGATCGAACCCAGAACTTCCGGCCTAGTTTGGTAAGGGGTGGAAACTGGACTTTCACAGTCAGTTGACACCCTTGCCTCGGTAATATGTATTTATAGTATTATCTACATTTGTGAAGTATAATTATGTATACACACGTATATATTTTCCCACACTAAAGTACTTTGTTCACATAAGTACATAGGTATATAGAGGATTCCTCAACAGCTGCATCAAATATGGGCTCTCCGGGATCATATTTATTCAACTTCTTCAATACTTTCAGTGGAACAATGTTTGAAATAATATGAAAACGTGAGGTCTTTTCATCCATATTTATTCACATAACGTGAATATATTGCATTAACTTACAACATGTGTCAAAGACGCAATACTTTCAATAACAGGTAATAGTTTTGTGAACAAGTGTACGTGCGTACACGTACATCACCAGTGGAGTATGTCACTAAGTAACTGACAATGTAGGGAACATATTTCCATATAGATACATGTAGTACAAGCATAAGGCCACAACAGATTGATTTTTTGTTTGTCTGAGGAAGAATTGGGTTCGTGGAAATGGAAACATTTTGTCACGCTCAACCCTGCTTGAATATTGCTGCTGCGGCGTAAAACAAAATTCGCTCACTCCTCTACTTGAGTTGTTTATGGGCCTTTATATGTTTTTGAAAGCCATTTTTGCACAGGAAGCCCTCCCCAACCTCCCAAAAATGACCACGGTGGAGATTAGAAACATAATACCTTTTTGTGCCTAAGTCATGACTTAGTCAATGCTGTAGCTTATTATTGGTCAGGCTGTACACACAGGGACATGCCAACCTCAATAAATCGTAATGCTTGGTTTCAAAAAGTAGGGAATTTAGGATGCGAATTCGAAAATGTTGTCAAAAGAAAGCATAAAGTCATAGAAATGAATTTACGGGTGCTGGGATATTGTCCAACGGATTTAAACTCGCCCATTCATTATATTTTATTGTTTGTTTGATGGTCAACACCGCAATCAGCAATATTCCAGCTATATGACGGCGGTCAGAAAATAACCCAGTCTGGACCAGACAATCCATTAATTGAACATCGACCTACGCAATTGGGATACGATGATACGCAAGTCAACCGATCCCGTTAATCGCCTCTTACGACAAACATGGGTTGCTGATGATCAATTTTAACCCGGATCTTCTCGGGTTCACCATGTGAAGACATCCAGATACATGAGATATGACACGCGCATACGGAAAACGGTTCCCAAAGGGGCCATTGCTGCACAAGCAGCTCTTAATGGCTCTGGCATAGTAATTCATTTACATCATGTAAAATGTCTTCATGGTAGAGTATAGAAGCAGTCTTAGGCTTCGTCTTACACGAGCTTTCTGAGAAAGATGGCCCCCTGAATGGGTCTTAAATACCTCAATGTCTTAATATAATATGATCAAAGGCGACAATGCATTATAGGGGCATTAGATTTTCTCAATTGAATCAATCGCCTGATATATTTTATTTTAAGACTGATGCCACTACACCATCGTTTAGATTTAGATTCAAATTATGATAAATAGACTACAATTTAAAGTTCACTTGTCAAGCAAATAAAAGTAGCCCTGAGTGAAGGAGCGAGTTAGGGATGAACCGACCGGGAACAATATTTGAGTCATATCACTACACGAAATGATGCAGGTTTACCACTGTGTGAAAACTACGGTGCCGACAGGCAAAGGATCATAATCTAGGATTAAAACCATCGACCAGAGGATCCTGGCACAACTAAGGAACTTAACACCATAAACCATAAACGACTTTTTTGTGTGCACCGAGTTACCTATTATTGCTGTCGAAAGATTGTCATATTCTGTGCGTTTCTATTACAGGCTTTATATAACCTTCCAACAAGTTAAAAACAGCTTATCTTCTGCGAGCGAATACATTCGGTCAAAACAAATACATGAAATTATACAAATCCAACAAATTTAAACAATAAAGTACTGTCGACAAGACAATGATTGTCATGGGTACGGGAGACTTCAACAAAAGCCAGTTTTAAGTGGGTGTTATGCATATGCATCAGGAATTGGGAATTTCAAATGTGAAACGTGAGACCATTCGTGTTTTACAATTCTGTTCTGCGAAGGGATCTCTTGTATGTACAAGGAAAACACATCTAAGTTTGATCTGCTGGGAAATGAATGAAAATGAGTCCATATCGTTTCAGGACATTGCAAGGATGTGGTAAGTGGAAGATGGTGAATTCGGTGGATTGGTTTCAATAAAGACGGCGTCGTAACACCACACGCACTAAAAGTACACTCCAAACGCTACAAAAACACGTGGTTGAGCAATACGGTCGTATCAAGCCAATCGAAACACATCCTTTCATCTTCATCAAAGCTGAACACTGATTATACATCCCCTGATTCACGATGATGCACATAAATAGTTCAGTCATATCCTTTAACCAGGATGATGAATTCGTTATACAGCATGAATATATTCCTGTGCCATACACAAAGATCAGTTAACAGCTTTACACACACACACATATATATATATATATATATATATATATATATATATATATATATATATGGCAACCATCCCTTTCCTTTGTGATAATGCTGCCGATCTGTGATCTGTGATCTGTGATCTGTGAACACCGTACAGTGTTAATCCCCGGTGACGCTACAACTGTGATACAGCGTTAAGCTACACTGCGACATACCAGCAACAACAAAATACTACTACACATATGATGCTGCAGGCACCGTCACGGTCATCACATTCACTGCATCTTCAGTGCATCTTAACTGCATCCTCGGAGTTATCACAGATCAAAGGATAATCCTCCCGCTACATTATCGCTACTCTTCACTCTCCATACAGATACCACACGTTTCAATCATAGGAAGAGATATGAAATTTGGTAACGTGCTTTCTACGCCACGCCGGTCATATAGGTGGCAGTTGGATATGGCTCCGGGATTTGATTCGGTCGGCTCGGGTGATCTTAAGGCTCTGAAGCCAGCGTTGGCACTTGTCGTGGCTGTCGTCGCTAACGGCGTGATGGGAATGATGATGATGGTAACGATGCTGGGCGGAGGAAGGGCGTTCACTGTCCTCGATGTCGCTCAATCTGTCCTCAATGTTTATCTCTGGAGGACCCTCAAACATGTCTGACTGTGGCTTGGAAAATCTATCACTGAAGTCGTCCGACCTCAGGACATTTTCATCTCTGAGTGAGATCTGTACTCCTGTGGAAGAAAAAGACATGTGGTCCTGCGTGGCGCTGTCTCCAGAGGAAGTCCGGCCAACATGCTTAAAGTCACGCATGGAACGCCGGGATAGCTTTGGTGTTGATGTAGGCGACAAACCGGAAACGCGGTTAGAACTTTCCTTCAGAGACAAGTGGCTCCGTCTACTTCCGGGTGTTGATGGAGGGGTAGGCGTGGTTGAGCGTCTGTCGAGGTCCTCTATGTGTAGACGTTGTCGCAAAGTAGGAGAAGCTGTAGCTGCGGCGTCGTCGTCAAGGCTGACGACGTCCATGCCAGGGGATATCTGTTCCTGGGCCACTGCTGCGAGCTGGGGACATGACCGGAACCTACAGGGAGAAAAGCAAGTAAATCAGTCTGGTGGATAAAGTTATGGGCGACCAAAGTTCTACATCTGAAACGACTGAACAGAATTCCTGTACGATACGAATTGCTTAAATGGGGTCAATTTGAACGCCTATTATCCCTGAAAATGAGCAATGACATCGAAATCAGCGAGAAACATTTCAGTAATGTCACGGCTAGTTGTGGGATTGTAGAAAGGGAGTGCTTGAGCTGGGATTAAGGCCGCGATGAACAAAAATACAAAACAATACAAAAATATACCAAGGATCATTATTGAAATGAATGTGGGAATCGAGCCTATGATATGCGGAACCTGGCATATAAGGGACGTAACTCTTTATCTGTTCGTGCTGAAAGATGTCTAGATTGAGCCTACGATATGCGGATCCTGTCATATAAGGGACGTAACTATTTATCTGTTCTTGCTCAAAGATGTCTAGATCGAGCCTGCGATATGCGGATCCTGACATATAAGGTACGTAACTATTTATCTGTTCTTGCTCAAAGATGTCTAGATTGAGCCTGCGATATGCGGATCCTGTCATATAAGGTACGTTACTCTTTATCTGTCCTTGCTCAAAGATGTCTAGATCGAGCCTGCGATATGCGTGTCCTGGCATATAAGGTACGTAACTATTTATCTGTTCTTGCTCAAAGATGTCTATATCGAGCCTGCGATCTGCGGATCCTGTCATATAAGGGACGTAGCTCTTTATCTGTTCGTGCTGAAAGATGTCTAGATTGAGCCTACGATATGCGTGTCCTGGCATATAAAGTACGTAACTTTTTATCAGTTCTTGCTCAAAGATGTCTAGATCGAGCCTGCGATATGCGGATCCTGACATATAAGGGACGTAACTCTTTATCTGTTCTTGCTCAAAGATGTCTAGATGAACGAGAGGTACTTTACCCGTTTCAGTGGTTTGTGTACACAAGCAGTAAATGTCGAAAGGCCCGAAAGCTCGTATATTGGTGTGATTCTATTAATGGCACGTTCCCTATCAGATACTACTCCAGGTTTCTGTTGTCCCCTCAGGTTTCACGCCCAAGCCTAGCTACCTCACCTTGATAGAGAGCAGGTCGACGGTCGCCGTGAGGCGGTGGAACCCTCCTCCAGCATGTCATCATCGTCGTCAGGTTCAAGCAGCTCAAGGCGCATGCCCGACTTTCGTCGACCAATCAGCTGCTTGCTAGACGCCGCCGGGGACTCCAGCGAAAGGTTCTGCTCCCCATGTTTATCTTGTGAAGCCATGATCACTAAGAGGCTCTGAAATAGGAGGGGTGAATGTTATGTTGAGGTACAAATCACCTTGTATAGAATGCTACTTGGACGTTACTCTCCACTCCTCAGATTGTAATGACAGATGTGAGGTCCCGTGAAGATTCCGGGATAAAAGTGGTCTTCAGCAACTCATGCTTGTCGTAAGAGGCGACTAACGGCATCGGATGGTCAGGCTCAGTACATCAACAGCAATATAAAGTTATATTATACACAAATGAACGTACAAGTTTAATAGCGATTGACAATAAACTGTGCACTACGCTCTAGGGGCCAAATATTCGTATCAACAAATGTCGAATAATGCATGGTACAAAGCAGTTTTCCTTTTGCAAAAAACCAACGTTTCCAACACGATTGCCCAATCTTCACGAGGCAAGCGCGTCCACTAGCCTTTTTATCAATGTCTTGTTTCCACCCTTGCCACACCATGCCCACTTTCCTGTGCTAAATATGATTCATCTTCCCGAGGCAAGTCAGTTAACTGACTTTAGTCCAGTTTCCACCCTTGCCGAACCAGGCTGGTATCATGGAGTTAGATTTTGGCCAGACTAACGAGTCTATGCATAGTCCAATCAAAATTTGCCCAACGAAATCGAAATCCGGTTCGTAAAATGTCATGCAGATTTTAGGTCGATTGCAGGATTTGCAAAGCATGTGCACCGCAAATCGTTGTCAACAGATATTTTCCAAATCTTTTCATGTTTTTAATCAAGATGCTCACGTGATTCAATGTAAGACCCGTTTTATTACAATATAGACCTTGATTATCGATCAGATCGTCTTGACTGGGCGCCGCCATTTTGTTTGAAGCAAATGCAAGAGATACGAGAGGTGGAATCTGATTGGTTCATAGGAGAGGCAAAGAAGGGACATAACTCGTAATAGCCACTGGTTGCGCTACGCTAAAGCCCGGGAATTCCAGCCTAGTAGACTTTTAACTCCCTTGCCTCGGGAAGATGAATATGATTGGACTATCGCACATATCTGTAGTCCAATCAGAACGTTTCACAAAATCAACATCCACGAATGTACACTTTCGTATGAAAGTGATTTACCGCTGCATGCCTTTGTTGACACGAATATGTTTTTTTCATCGTTTAAATCCCCCAACGATTTCCTATGTTTTTGTGTCAGGGATGAAATCGCGAATGTTTTCGTATTCAGATCGACATGGTCGTCGCCTATGGTAGTGGCCTTCTTTGTGAAGCTCTACGAGATGACAGCGATCTGATTGGATATCGCGTTTGCATTCCTGAGGGGCACAACTCGTGATCTAAGCGAGGTGGTCCCAGGGTCTAGCCAAGAAAAGTGGCCTTGATGTGGAAAGGGTAGAAACTAGGCTTTGATATAGGCTCGTGGACACGCTTGCCTCGGGAAGATGAGATTGACCGGAAAGCGGAGATTTCGGATTATCGGGATCCGGATTAACGAGTGGTCACTGTGGCTACTAACTGTGTTGGTGTGCCAGAATGACAACTTCAGTTCACTCTGGGGTTCACACATGCCTACAAGCGGGTGAAGTGCGTCTCAGATTCGATTCCCTTCATGACTACAATATGTAAAGCCCACCAAATTGACAGCATTATTGGACATTACGGTGTGAAGACGTACTAACTTACGTTCTCTATCGCACAGCCCGGAGATAGGTCTTTGTTTACACACTTCTTATTCCGCGTGTTTGGGTAATCGAGTTTCAAGATTACGTGTAAAGCCGAACATAGGGTCAAGCCTGCACGTGCCGGTCTGAAGGCAGGGCATCACACCATGGGTCGAGTTCAATATGGCATTAAAGACAACAGGACAAGCCGCCGTCTAAGCTGCCACTGATTGTTGATATAAGTAAATCGATATCACAAGTCTCTGTTGGGCTTGACGAGACCGCCGGCAGCCATCGCATATGATACCATTTACATGGATTTAGAGGCTAGGAAACCAATACTGGTTGTATTTAGGAGATCAAAGGCAATTAAAGTACAGACAATAATAGCCCGACGAGGCAATAAACCTCACTTGTTGATGGCTCGGTGACGTCAGAGCATTGCGTCAGGGCTGGAGGAACATGTGAGGCTGGGTGTGTGGTTGAATGTCAACAGCATGTATATGCACAGTCATCATTGTTATGTACAAAGGATGCGATGACAGGTGCGCGGATGAAGGAGGGATACACGTCTAATTACTGTGATGCTGTCGGTGAATGATGTCTGTGGATTGTTGCTGATGCTGCAGTATTGTGTTATGAATGCCATATCACGCTAGTGCGGTGCGGAGACGTTAATAAAAGCTACAGTTAAGCTGCGACAGACAACGAGGACCAACTGGCGGATATGACGAACCCATCATACACCAGTTCCAATATTGTATATAACGACTGAATTTCAATTCAGCAAATATGATATATCGTGAACTAATTCTTCCCTTTCGTACGTGTTAGTTTTATCCGACATGCGGAGACTTTAATGAACCCTACAATTACGCTGTAAAAGACGACGAGGACAAACTGGGGGAGGTAAGAAACTTCAGAAGCCAGTCTCCATACTGTATATTACGGCCGATTTCCAACAAGTATGACATATGATATATCGTGAACTATTTTTATCCTCCCGTTCGTACGAGTCAGTTTCACCCATTCTGTACAGGATAATTTATATTTAGACACATCTTTACATATATGTTTCCCACGAAGTACCTCGAAAAACACACACTGAAACGATGCACCATCGATGGCGCACTAACAGCGGCGTAATTGCAACGACATATACAACGACGCACCAACAACGGCACGCTAAAAGAGGTGCACCGTCAACGGTGCATCGAGACTCACATTCAACAATGAACAAAAACGACGCATTGACAAAGAGGCAAATACAACGACGCACAAACATGGCACCAACGGAGCATTGGACTCACTTAGAACACTTCATATTCACTGATAATGGAACGCTTTCAGTCACGCTCCAACAACGGCACAAGGCAACTACGCAATTACAGCAACACGTGTACAGCATCAATACCAACTGTACAGCGTACTAATGTACCATTATTCACCCAGAGGTAACGGGGAGAACAGGCCTCCCAATCACACGAATGGCGCCTAATGGCTCCTAAAACGGAGATATGTTCAAGTACATGGTCAGTTCTTGGATGGATGCCATAGGGCAGTGTAAGTCGTAAACTGGGTGTCAATGCATATATTTCCACACCTGTGACGCTATCGCTAAATAGCTTGCTTGTTCGTACCCAAAACATATACAGGTCACAAAAATATTAAAGAACCACCTAATCAAAAGCTTGATATTTGGCTGTGTCATTAATTGGCTTTCACGCCATTTCTCGAGGAGAACCGTGCTGTCTAAGTACGCATGTTCTATTGACTCAATAGAATGAAGTGTTTAGTGAAATATTACATATGTTTGCAGATCTTTGCACGCATGTTTTCCTTAACAATGGTATGGTTATCAATGCAAAGGAACGACCATGTTTAAAACAAGATCAGATTTCTTTTTGTAGTTTTGGCGATCTCATTGCAAGGATCAACCATAAAACGTTCAGCTACAGATATCATGATGAAATCTAGACGTAGAGGACCACATGAATTCACAGAAACATAAACCTTTGGTTAGGGTCAGCTTAACATGGTGTAGCTGCCATACAATGTCCTAGTCCTGTGATGGGATTCGGACCAGCGACCTTCTGATCAGAGGCCAGACGCCTTGTCCACATGCCTCAAACTTTAACCCTAAGCTGATAAGGTAGGGGTGTCATCAACTGGATGACTCCACGCCCTGCTAAACATGGGATGGAGCTTAACGTTTAAATGTTGCTGAGGTATGTCCTGTGCTGACTTTCTCTGTGTTCCTCTGGTTTGTCTGACTTTGGAATAACACTAGCCTGTCTCTCAGACCCTAGAAAATAAATTATAAAAGGAATCCTACTCAAGTCTTGAATGACTTGGCATGTGAAATACAGCATTGTTCTGGGATCCATTTGAATTTTATTTAATATTTCATGTATAAGATAACTTTATTGTGGGGACTAAATGCTCGTCTAGAGTCACACCTAATCATTCAATACTTCTTCCAGACCACTGTAGAAGCGGGTCAGCATGAACAGATGGTCGAGAGGAAACACAAGCTGCAGTTATAGCTGAGTGTAATTTTGTCCTAAAAATAACTCTGCAATTTGGCTCGTCGATACCGTCTGTTAATGTGAAAAATAACGTTTGTGTTTCTTTTGTCCGAATGACGAGTAATTCATCACACTAATTCGATAACAATCGAGTTTTTCCATGAGCCTGGCAGTGTCGATTGAACAAACCTTTGTGTGCCTGATACAGTCAATGATACCGATGTGACGCGTTGACCTCACGCTTTGATTCAGCTACATTTATATATGTACTGAAAACTAAAATAACACAAATATAATGACAGGGATCCTTACAAACAGATACCGTCGGCATGGCAACCAGTAAAACATCACGCGAAGCACCAATAAAAACTTAAATCATGCAAAGAAGCAAAAAATCAAACTCTTCAACAAGAAGAATGATTTCATAACAGTGTACACAGATATCCGATTTAGCGAGGATATTATCTGTATTGGGCGTTTCTATGACAAAACATACTAGCATCCCCTTTATACGATGAAGCGGAATCAAAGTGTTAAGCTGAACCAATAGCGATGATTGCATTGTCAAACTGCATATTGAAGGTAAACGTGTGGAATGGCGTAACGGAAACAGCCAGCTGGGTTTCCACGGGATCACAGGAAGTGCGATGACGTCATAAATAAAAGCGTTCCTTGGCAACAGCAACCGCTCGCGTAAACTTATCTGAACCACAAGGCATCTAAACACGTTTCTCATTACAGAGCCTTGCGTAAACGCTCCGTGCAAAATACTTCTCCATGAAACCATTCTCCCCCAGTTTCCCCATTCCTTTTTCATTGCGCTCAGTGACACCTATTTATATAAGGATCAATAGATGCGA